ATTCTCTTTATTAACCTCACCTTTTGTATTCTAAGAAAGGAGGAAATGCAGTAAGTCAACACTGCTCATTTGAGTACAGCCTGTCAAGAAATATGTGTCTTTTTAATGCTCTTCTCTGCTTTGAGTAAGATCTTCATTGTACTTCACAAGATGAAAAGAGGAAAAAAAACCTGAATTTCAACTGGCTCATTAAATGAAAGGCTTTTAATGTGTACTTCTTGTAACTAGCTTGCACCTGAAGGACTCATTTCATGACTACTCTCTTAGAAAGTTATGCAAAAAAGAAAAGTTTATGTTGAGAAAAGATAACATACTTTTTATATTATTTTTGGCTTACTAGCACTTTTATTTTCATTACAGCTGTAACGAAACATCTCAAAATTTAAAAAGGCCAGCTTCTCAAAGAACAAGAATAGTATTTTAGCATTAACCTCCTGAAATGAAAGTTCAGCCAAAGCAAGGAAGATGTGTAGAAGGCAATACCGAGAACACTTTGCTCTAAGGAAATAAATGTATTAGAATCACACACATTACAAGTCTGAAGTCACATTAATAAATTACTCATTTGAGAAATTAGACTGGCAATTTAAAACTTACTACAGTCATTTTGAGAAGTGAATTATTAAAAAAAGTAAGGTAATTAACACTAAATTATTTGTAAATAACTACAGAAAGAAATTAATAACTAAAAAATTCTGTTTTAGCAAGTTCATTTTCTCTAAGAAGTAGAACATCTTTCACTGACTACCAATGCTTCAGGAACCAGAAAGCATTTTGCCTAGTCTCAAAAACTAATTCAGAACTGCCCTTGCCCAAGTTATAGTCACAAAAGGGAAAAAATATAACAAGAACAACAAGAAAAATCTTACAGGATTTCCAAAATTGCCTGGAAGAAGAAAAAAATGTAACTATTTTACAATCCAGCTAGAATTCTGGCCATGTGTCAAACTGATTCATTCCAGTGAGATCCAGATTTCATCCCAAGAGCAATTAAATTCTCAGCAAAGCAGTTAAAACCCATCTGTCTCTTCAAGGCAGATTTCAATTATTATTCCATAATCCTATGCCCTTATAATTACATTGATGTTCATTCTGCATATACCCAAAAACACTGGTTTCATTTATTTCAGGAAAAATGAACACAGCACAGATTCACACTGCTACTGGAGTCTACCAGAAAAAGAGGGCAGAGAACTCAATCTGACAGTACAGGGAGCACTCTGAAAGCTTCCTGTCCAAACCTATTGGCCCAAATGAAATCGCTTTAACAGAAACAAAAAAAAAAAAAAACCAAATCACATCACAAGAACTTCCTCTCTTGTGAATATTACAGAAAAAAGCCAGAACTATTACAATGTCTTCAGTTTCAAGTTTTGCTTCTTGCAGACTTTGAGCACTAGAATATTGCAGCATCTTTAAAAACAGTAACAGCTGTACTACCCATCCTTCTCAATGTAAATAAGGACTTGCACGTGCCGAAAACATTTAAAGCTTCACTCTGAACAGACACATACTAAAGCTTCTGGTTCTCATGTGTCTACTTAATGCACTGGAGATGAGAAAACACCTCAAACCTTGCTACAACAAGAGAGGGTAAGCAAAGGATCCATGAGACTGGTCAGGATGCCTGTTTGAGGCTACACTGCTTACACGTATGGTGAACAGTATTTTCAGAGAAAAATTAATGAAACAAAAAATCTAGCAAAACTAAACTACAACCAGGAGTTGTACCTCCCACTGCTGAGCAGCTTTCTGCCATGAAGCAGTAAAGGAACTAGGCATTGCAGTCAGCAACTAAATCCCAGGAAAGCAGCAAAGAGCACAGCTAACATCAAGTGAGAGCATCTATAGATAAACACTTCCATTCCTGCTAATTTACACAGCCATCAACTGCTCTGCTAAGCATCAGTCTGCTCACACAGAACTGAACTTGGTGCTCAGCAGCAAAAACCACCTGTCAAAAAGACTATAAAGAGCAACAACAAAATCAGTGCTTAGAAATTTGAAAGGAGTTCAGAACTTAAAAAGTTATCCAAGTGATTTGTTGACTTTGAAAGTGGAAATGGAACAACAGTGGACTCAGTTATTTTCTGTTACGCTATTAGACAATATTTTCATCCTTACAAAAACCCCACACATTTCCTATCAAGCTCTAAGTTCCCCCTATGATATTATTGAGATCTGTATGATTCTTAAACCTCCAACACTGGATTACACATTTTCTCCATAGCTGTTCACTCAGTTAGTAAATAACAGAAGGACTGTACTAAAAGAGGCCAAATTTATTTTATTCTTCATCCCCACGTCTTTAAAACCAAGATGTACTGAGAATAGCAAAGATATTGGCTTTTCTGTTCCCCAAAAAGGAACAATGAGCTTCAGAGGCCAGCAAATTCCTGCTGTTGCCTTCCTATGCTGGTTCTCATTTCAGAATCCCAGTTAAAATCCCTTTTACAAAAACTGCCCTTCCAAAGATGATTCAAACACTCCTAATCTAAGATCACCCAATGGGAGATGCACTGCCACCTATGGAAAAGCTTAGGAAAAGCATTTAGCATTTGTTAATACTAAGGATACAGCTTAAAAGACTAACAAAACAACAGCAGGATGGAAATGAGGAAGAAAAAGGTGAATTGTGCACTAAACATGACCAATTACTCAGCACATAGTTCCCTGAACTGCTACTCAGCCGCAGTGCTTCTACTCACCCCAGCCTGGTGCCACAGGAACTCCAGAACTACTGCTTTGGTGACTGCCCTGGAAATACTAAATCCAAGGGGCAGGCAGGCTGGCATTAGCCCAAGCACTCCAAATTCTTAAATCTGATTCTCATCAATTGGATTTTGACACACAGATATGAACTGCTTTTAACTCACCACAGTAGAGGATAGAAACTGCATAATTTGATCACGTATCTCCCAGCAATCAAAACATCTGACGTTTGACTAATCACAATAATTATTCTCAATGCCTTCACTTTTTTGTCTTTATACTCCTTACTTGCAAAGAAAAGGAAAACCTTGGAACAAAAGCTTACAGCAACCTACTCAAGAGCACAATTTTTCAGAAATAATGAAAACTGCACCAGAAATTCTTCTGCATCTTCAGATTAGAAAAGATCATTGTTTAATCTTTAGGCTAAAGAAATCAAATATATCATAATTCCTACCAAAACCAAAAAGTACAGGGAAAAAAAAAATCCCATAGTAAGTGGTAATGCAACACTTCAGAGCTACATTTTCCCCCTCAAAACTCAAGCTACTGAAAATACACTTCTGTCTTGCAAAAACACAACATGCTCTTGATGCGTTTCTCATTCAGATAGAAGTCACAGTACATTAAGCACTGAAATTCTGGCGAAGCACTAACAGAATAAAAAATCAAAATGGGTAGAAACAATACATGATCTTCTAGATTTAACATCAAGTCTTAAAATCTCTTCCTTTCTCCACCTCCTCAAAAACAACTGAATATATTCTTCCATTTTTAAGCTGTCTCCAAGAGCTTTTTACTTTCAATAAACAAAGAAATAATCCAAAATAGTGACCAAGAATATAAAAGATTTCTAATGTACTTCTGCTCCACATGGCTTACAACAGCTTCTGTCAATCAACACATTGATTCAACAGCAACTCATACCCATGCACAAATTAATTCACAGGGCCTACATGTATCAAAACCTAGATATATACTCCAAAAGCACAGTAAAAGAAGTGTCTTCCATTTGTTTGTTACATTTCAGAGTATGTATCAAAACACCTATATTTAAAATTTATGAAGGACAAAGTTTAAAAATTTCCCTCTTTTTTTGGCATGTGTCTGGAGACAAGGATGCTTGTTTTAGCAGTGGCCTCCATGAAACTTGGGTTTTCCCTATAAACACCAATAAAGCTACAAAACTCATACTACAAAACTCATACTACAAATCTAACAGCTTTTCCAAGCTGGCCACAATTGCCACAAAAAGTTAATAACCACCGCTAAACTCTTTTAAGCACTAGATCCCAACATCATAATTTAAGACGGAAACAATACCACAAGCAGCTGAAAATATATCAGCAATTCATATCAGTTACACAAGAAGAATATAATTGCGTATCTGTGGCCAAGTCTTAAAGTGTATCAACATTACTAAACTGGCAGAGGTGACAGAGTACCTGACATGCCTTAAACACACAAAGAATGACACATCGATTAAACCTAATTGGTTTTGTCAAATGTTCTGATTGTTAACATCATGTTAATAAAATCCAAATTGCTTAATTCAGAAGTCTGTGCAGATAAAGGGATATGAACAGGACAGACAAACAGAATTCTCTTCTGGCCCACTAAAATTCTAAGGTTGGCTCCCTGATCTCAGATGGAAGATCACAGCAACAACTCTTCATACACTCATATTTAATGATGCTTCTTGCAGATTAGTTTGACTTTAGCAGCAAGAAAAAGGTCATGCTGTACTACTGTATCCCACCGGAGATGTACAAAGAGCCCTGCTACAGTGAGCTACAGCCAGGTCTCTACCTCAAAGATGCTATGATTGAATGAAGAGAGAAAGCAAGTATCTGCTTCAGCTCACAAGGGCCCTTTGAGCACACAGTACAGAAACAACAAATGCAAGAAGCCACAAAGGCAATAGCTATTTTCTGGCTTTTTCACTCCTATGTTCAGAGATTAGCAGGAGCTATTGAACCTATCCTTTGCAGAAATCAAATTCCTTTATTCTTTGTGAGCACTGCTATGAGATTGCATAAGGACCTGTTTTGTCCTGACTTTAGATTAAGGGAAGAAAACAATGTGTGCAAACAGCCAGATCAAGGCCACCTGCCCAGAAACAGGAGCTCCTAAACAAGAAGTTTCACAAAGCTATCAACTACAGAGGAAAGAGGAAACAATTATAAATTTTTTTTAAAAGCACTAATATTTAAAAAATATATTTAATAAGCAATAAATGTAACATTTTTAAGATCCTAAAAATGCAAGTTAAGAATATAGATACATACTATGCTGTTCATTTCTGAAGAGTCGTAACTTCCACACGGATGGACACTTCCTATAGGTTCCAGCCCTTCCTCATCCCACATATATGTGCCATCAGAGCTGTCAGATGGAGAAAGTTCAAAGGAGGAGCCAGCTCTGTAGTTCATCTCTGAAGAGATGACATTCTCAGTAGTGTGTTTTGTGCTTTCACTGTTGTCATCCACTGCTTAAAGAAAACAGCATCAGTTAAGATTCCAAAAACAACCCAGTATTCAAAAAATAAACGTTAAAATGCCTGTACTACTGTGCTACCTTTGCTGGAGCTGTACTGTAACAGAAATATCTGAAAGCTTTGCACAGTATTGTTCCCTCATCCCAGAAGGGGGAAAAGGTCAAGGTGGCTTGGCAGCTACAACCAAGGAATCTTCCAACCCACATCTTTGCTAACCTTTTACATTGCCCTAATTCACCCACCGTGGAAGCTACTTTCTAGAAATCTGCATCTCTTTAACATATTAGAAGGTGGGTCCAAAAATATATCCTTTGGATCTAGTCTCTCAATTGCACCATCTCTCAAACCAGTTTTTACCATGAGAAGCCCATCAAAGATTTGAAAATGTGGCTTTCAAAAGCATCTTCTTGTGTCTTCAACTAATTTTTAAAGAATTAATATGCATCAGAAAAACAAAAAATACCCAGTAACAATCCTGTTTATAACTGAACTAATTCAATTACACATCCTACACTTATTTCCACTACTTAGAAGCAGTTACAGCTGTTCTCTGCCTACAGAGGTGGAGGGAGCATGAGGTGAAATTTTCTTAAAATATCACCAACCCAGAAAATGAATGGCAAAGCAAGGATATGAGGAATCCCACAACCACACCACGAATGTGTTTAAATGAGGTCACCCTCATTTTTATCACAAAGAGTTCCTCAAAGTAATGCTTGGGGAAAAACTACAATGCAGAAAAGGCACAAGCAAACAAATATGCCAGCATAGATCAGTTCCATTCTGAAACAAATCATAAGCAACGGGCAATTACATTAAATAACTTAATTATCATTACAGAATTTTGATTTAGCACCTAAATTTTCAAACAGAACATAAAAAGATATTTACCAGACACATTTATATCAAGCCAGTCATCAGCATTACAGCAAGATCCTCCACCTTCCTTGAGAGACGTGAACGGCTCGATGGATGTTCTGCTCCCATGCTCTAATTTCTGAAGGCAGCTCTCCTTCTGCCGGATTTGTACAGTTCTGTTTGCCTCTTCTATATCTATGAAATCATCACTGAAGTCTTCACTCAAATCGTTTTTCTCAGAGGATGACAAAGAAGATATAGATATTTCATCTCCATCATCACTCATACACATCACTTTTGACCCATGTTTTCCCAGACTTTCATGCAGGCCCTCACCAGGTTCTGTTCTTTGAGCCCTGCTCTCTAGAATACTGTTTTTATCTACAGCTCTATTGATATTTGCTGAAATCTCCACATTCTCCACAATGCGCGTGTCCGGAGCCACACTTTTGCTGCCATCCACAAGGGATCCAGCATCCCCAGCAAACCGCTGCCTGGTAGGCTTCAGCAGAGAAGGCCGACCTAATCTGTATCCATAGGAAGGTGCTGACCCAGATCCATTTGACAGCGGGGGTTTCTTAGAACAAGGAGCTGACATAGCTGAGTACGGTCTGGTAAATCCATACCTCATCGGCTCATTTCCATTGGGTACATCCAACTGACACGCGTTTCTTGACAGCAGAGTAGACCTCTGAGCTGTCCTGGCAGCAAGATTTTGACTATGGTAAGGCCTTGTAAGATCCACAGCTTTATTAAAGGAATGTGACCTGGTTAGAGATGCAGCGGGAAGGAAAGAATTCTGAATGGAATGTGAAAAACTTTGTGATCTTACCATTTTGTCACAGGAAAAAGCCTTGCTATTGTCTGTAGACTGTGCCAGGCTTTCTCCTGAATTTGTCCTTGTGGTACTGGAATTAGCTCTAGGTCTCTGCAAACCTACCACTGGCCGATTTCCATAGAATCCATTTAAATTTGATCTTGGAGCATTGAGTCCAGAGTATGTCCTTCCTGACAGGGTACCTTTGGTGAATTTAGCTGAACTAGAGAGTCCAGGTATAGACTTTGGGTTTAATTCCTCAGTAGAAGACACAAACATATTGGTTTGCTTTGCTGCTTTTGACACAACCGAAGCAGTACTGTTCAAACCCACCCTGAGCTCATCATTGCCCAATGCTCTTTGAGATTGAGGATACTTCTCAGAATCAATTAATTTTTCATTACAGTTGCGTTTGGTGTTGGGCTCTCTCCCATTCTGATCATTAAGCTGATATTTGTTTGATTTTTTCCAGTTGAAAGCAAGGGAAGACATTCCAACAGTGCCATTGTGCTTGCCAAAATTTTTGCCACCATTACTCCCTGCTAAATTCACAGCCGTCCCGTTTGGCATAGGTTGCAAAGCACTCCCTAAAGTTTTCGTTCCATATTTCGGTAGCCTGGAAACCAAGGATGTCCTGTTTTGATTTTTTTCTTCCATGAGCTATTGGGTACATTGGTCCTTAAAGGGTGCTTGAATCTAAGAAAGAAAAATAAAACAACATTAAACCTGAATCAACCACACATTAAACACAGTTTTCAATATATTTGCAGCTATATGCTTCCTAGACTCCTATGCCTAACTCCAACCGTGCTGATAAAAAGTAACCCAGATACATCTTGTGAACTCAAGTTCCAGCAGTTACTTGGCAGTAGTATGTTCTTCAGATCACAGCTCACTCCCCCAAATTTCATTCTCTACATAAACCATCTTTTTTTTGTTTTCCTTTTGTAATCTATAAAATAACTTGAGAAGGTTGGATCATTTTTTAGTTTTTTTTTTTTAATTTACCCATTTTCAGCAACAAACAGAACTTTTCAACTGTGTTACAATTACTAAGTTACAAACTTAAGATTTAGTATTTTTAAAATAAAAACTTATTTATTTTACTTAATTTTTTAAAATTTTATTTAACATTTATTAAAATAAAATATGACATAGCAAAACCCTGTGATCAGCAACATAAACCTGCAAAAACTATAATGTAAAATCTGACTAAAAGCTAATTTTTTGAGATTGCTTTCAATTTCCCCAATGTCTAAAATATAGGAAATAACTACTCATCACACATCTCACAACAACATGTTTTGTTCCCAGACCTTATGGATATACCCAAATCAAGATCCACATTCCTAATCATTCTTTCCTCTTTGTATGGAGACTGTAGTCTATTTTGGAAATCATTCACATTACAAAACCTGAAGTGCAGTACAACAGTTGAATAAGGTCAGCATTAGTAACTGAATTTAAAAGTTCTACTTACTCAAAGTACAGAAAATAACTTGTGTAACCACAGCAAGCATTACTCTAAAGTGAGACACTCCCTGAGCTGCAAGACTCACTAAGAAACACTTAGTTTCTTAGTGATACAATCGAAGATATAACCAAAGATAAAGTCCAAGTGGCATTAAATTCATGCAAACTGAAATACCCTTAGGATTTGTCAGTGAACAGGATGCCCCAGAGCACTACTTCTGGAAGCTGATCTACATTACAAAGACAGAAAGAGGAAGGTACTGCAGACAGGGCATTTAGGGGCTTCTAACTTGTGAAAACATCAGAATCCACATTCTGCAACTGGCGTGTGCATTTCCATTTTGAAATACAACACAAATCCTGACTTTTCAAACACTCAGCAAATTCTTGCACACCAGACATTGCCCTCATCCAGGTGTACAAAGAAATACAAAAGTATTTCCCCCTGGGACCAGCAGAACATTTCATACACCGCCTGCATGCACACGGATTGAAGTTTCTAATGTCACACCTCTTGCCTACATTGCATCTGCATACCTTGCACAGGAAAATATCATCAAGCTTTAATAGCAACATCAAAGATCTTTACGTCAACTACATACAATAAAGCACACCCTTTTTTTTAATACCTCCATGAATAAAAAATAGCCTTTAACACGCTGATGAATTAATTCCCAGCAAGAACCATACTGCAGATCCCTGAGAAGATAACCTGACTCTAAAGAACTAGCAAGTCTTGTGAAGTAATCTTCCAAATTGAAAAAGTTAAATTAGAAAGCTGCTAATTTAACTTGCATGCTTTACGGCTAATTCCCTTTTCACATCTATCTACCACCTCTTAGGTGACTGCAAAATTTAAATGAGGCCATTTAATTAGATTACTTTAATCCTCCACCAAGTACTGCAAACTAAATTTGAAAAGAATACCTTTCATTTCTCTAGGAAGGGCTCTTGCTCATTTATCCTTGATTAGGCAAAGACAACACAGTATCTTCATGAAAACCATACTGATAGCCTAGAACACTTCAGATAATTAAATTAAAAGACAAACAATACTTCTCTGTATTTTATCAGCTGTGTAACTGTTAACTACTGCACCACCTTCTCAAGTACAGGTTTAATTTGTTTCATTGAAACACAATGTCATCAAAAAAACCAGTAAAACTTAACAGCATCATGTCTGGCAGATGTTCCCCAGAAAATGGGGAAATTTCTTATTACAGTCTCTAAACCTTCCACAATCTTTACATGTGTTTAGTAGGAAGCATTATGCTAGCCTAGCAATGAAACTCCCTTATCAAGCAGCAGTGTGCATACCAGTTAGAGTATGATTTCTGCAGCCCAGAAGACTCAATAGTATTTCAATTGTGGCCTGTTGTACTATGAAAAAATTCAAAGTATTTTTAGACTTAAATAATCTACGGATTTTTAAAAAAACTGACATTTGGGCAAACAAGTTTTATATTCTTTGCCTTGGGAAATACATTATCCAGTGCACACAAGCCTAATCAGGAATTAAGCTAATTATAAAGAGCCTAGCCTTATGTAATGATCCAGGGAAAAGGAGTTAAAATCCACAAACCCCCTCTGAAGTATAATCTGAATTAAATGAAAAGCTGCTACATCCTTACCTTCAAGGATATTCAGGATCCTGGTGATAAGCAAAAGGATATTCATTCTCACCCTCCTTGGTACTTCCTCTACAGGATTATTTACACCTCAGTCAAATCCTGCACAGTTAGTTTCAACTGGCAAGCACAACATTCACTCTAACTTCATTCACAGTTTGTTTCAGCACCACCAGGAAGGCAGTTTCCTATATATTAACTACTCTGCAAAGTCCAGCTTTGCATCTGAGATTCTGCCCTACAGAAGAAGACAGCTTAAAGATTGATACATTTGAAAGCTTAAGCACCTTAAACTACTTCAAGCTATGAAGCTTAAAATACTTCAAATACTATGATCCCTGCCACCAGGAAGATAACAGCATTTTCCAGTTCCAGATTCCTGAATAGGACCGAATTCCCCTCCTATTGTCACAGCAGTGTGGAATACCCAGCTGATGGATGAAACACATCTGACAGACTGGTGACAGGCCAGAGCAATTCCCCTCTGCAGATCTTCTGCCATGCCAACAGTTTCAGGTCTGTGTTTCATTCACAGAAATTTAAGGGCATGTGTATTTCAACTCTGTCCTGTGTACAGCTTATAAAATCATCTCTTACACTTCCGGGTTATTAAAAATACATTAGATCAGTTATGTGAAAATATCTTATTTCCATCAATGTAGGGAGGTATTGAAAGTCATCAGGGAAAAATCTGTGAGGTTTGCAGAAGCAGCAAAAGGCTTCCTTAGCACTTGCTTAAGAACACTGCAAGATGGGCAGCATGACAAAAGTCAATTTTCAGCTTTAAGAGGACCATGGGAGCTTAAAAAGAATGGAAGAAACTGGCAAGAGATCCAGCTGGTAAACACCTGCTCTGAGCATGAGGAGCCCTGGGGAATTCAAGATCATGAATCCTGAGGAAATTGTGCATGCTGTATGAATTAAAATAAATCAGAATGCAACTAGAAATGCTGATAGCTTCAAGATTGAACTTTGAGTATTTACATTTTTTTGTGTTGTTTACTCTGCACAGAGTTCAGTTCAGTCAAAAATATCACCTTCAGTCCAAGATCCAGTAAAATTTATCAGCTCTGCAGTAAAATCCTCCAAGCCTGCCTTCTTTCTCCTGTCTTACATCTCTACAAAACACTTGTTCTTGAATCAATTCCCAATGCTTTACCAAGGCATCCACGAATTTTAGCCACTCTCCCTTGTCCTATCCAAACACCAGCCTCCCTGACACTGCGTTCTGAAAGTACCATAGTGAGCAATCTAGCAAGAAATTCCAAGATGGTGAGGGCTTATTGTAGTATTTCTCTGAAATTACCTTGCTTTTTTTTTTGTCCCAAGTTGTGAGATTCTGTTTTCAGATCTCAAGGTATCTTAGAGATACATCCTTTTCGGTTTTTCCTCCCTCGCACTAATGAGGTTCTACCTGCTTTGAAGGGTTGATGCATCAAACACCAAAAAAACAGTTATCCAAGCTGCTCTTGTGCTCAGTTTACTGTCAAAATATATTAGGTCAAAGAACATGAGCAGAACATGATAATGAATAAAGGCAGAAGGAGCAAGACATACATCATAAAGAGATTGGAGTTTTAGTGTTTCTAACATTGAGCAGTATCTTTAGTCAATACAGTAGAAAATGTGACATCCCCTGCCATCTCTAAAAGCATTCTTGCTATTCATCAGAATTCTTAATGTTCGATAAGGCAGAAGGACATAAGCACTTACTGGAGAAAAATAAATAGGTAAGTGCAGTTCTATTTTGTAGAAGAAATCCACCACAATATTTCCAGAATCAAAACCTCCCTTTGCATCCATCCCTCAGGGCCACACTGTCAATTCACTCTGCCATGAATGCTGTTTACACAGAGTATCAGGCACCTCAACGAAGCAAAAAAGGGCTAAGTGTTATCTGCCCAAACAAGAACACTCTGTAATTGTTGCCCACTTGTGCTTTTCATATTAATAAAACAAAAACTATGCATTTTAAACTCCAAATTTTTACATCAAACCTAATCAAAACATTGAAATAAAACAGGGTATGAGTTATCATAAGCCCCTTTAGATTTTATTGAAAAAAAAGTCAGGCAAATTTTAACTACAAGAAAAACTTTTGCTAAAATCCTCTGTCTTGAACAGGTAAAGTTGCACTGATTTTCATCATTCTTATACAACTAACAAGGTGGAAGGCAATCAAGGTCCAGATGTTTAGCCAGCAAGGAGCAGCTTCAGCACAAAGAAAAGAAGGTGGAAGAGTATAACTGAGGGTACAGATAAATTACTCCCAGTAAAAGAGAATATCAGGGTCTGCGAAGAAGAAGGACTTGACAATGCAATCTCGGGTTCCTCTTAAGTGTTAATGCAGGTTATTATGGTTTGTTCATAAATGAGACATGAAGTGCAATGACAGTTACTCTTTCCTGCTTTACTGTTGACAATCTAACTGCTGTAAGGGACAGAGGTCAGAGAGAAACTGGAATAAGGCACTAGAGATGCATGACTCCTCTCTGAACCTGCTATTCATCTGATGCATCCTCTTGGAGGAAGTCATCAATTCCTTTCTTCAGCAGATCTTGTTCAATCTGGACGAGCAATGTCAAGCCTATACCT